GCAATGAGTGGAGCAGCTGATGATGAACTTGTGAGGGGAACAATATAGATGTGTCCTTGCGACACTCCAAGTATGCTCTTAATTACCTCTAATTGAGACTGTGTATGCACAGATGGGTTATATTTTGATGATAAATAGCTGTAATATGAGGGACTTTTCCAACATTGTTGTTCTCTTAAAAACAGCCGATTAATTGTGTCTCTCTCCAATAGATGTTCGTGTTATTTTCTAAGCATTTTGGGGGGGGTCAAATTCATCCCAAATGTGGGAAATACATTTTGGAAATAGGCAGTTCTGTTGGAATTAAGTATTCGGCGACCAGCTCCCTCTTCTCTGCTGTCACTTCAAATCACTCGGGCTATTTGTGTCTGCTGGAGGTAGCGATGGCCGCCTTTGGGAAGCTGTTGGAAATCCGTTGGCGTTGTTAGGAGAGCAGAAGCATTAAGCTGCCATAATTAACATCCTTTTCCTTTTTGGTTCTTTTTTTTGCTGATGTGGAAATTGCATTTGTGTCATGATCCCCCAGGTTGCGTTAGAATATTGATGTTGGCTGGTGCTTCATCTTCCGTGTCAAGGCTATGGGATATTCCTTAGCATTCCAAAAAGCAGCATCTTCTTCAGGTAGAGCTCCCATATGGCACATTGCAGGACCGATGGAAGAGGAGATGGTTGGAAATCAGAGGTATTTTCATCTCCCTGGCGATGGGCAGGTCACGTCAGCTCTTGTCCTTCTTAGCCATTCCCCCTCTCCCTTTGTTTTTTTTTCCATCTGGTTAGTCTCTTTGAGATTAATTAGTCCCTGATGAGCAGATGCAGTGGTGCACTTGGGTGCTGGTCACAGGAGGGACCAGGGACTAGTGGCTGTGGACTAAGAACCGGGGGAGCAATGAACAAGGTGGATATGGAGAATCACCTTTGAGAAGCTCTAGACTGTTTTCCTCACTGGTGGCTTGAGTTCAACCCTGGTTTGGCTGGAACTGGGGACCTGAAGTCTATCACAGGCACTTGCTTTGCTGCTGAATGTGGTGCACGTTGCAGCTTGGCTCATGGACACCGCAGCTGTAGGACCAGACCAAGCATGAAGCTGCTGGTTGCAATGATATTTCCATAGTGGTTGGGGAAAAAAACACCCCAAAACACTCTACCTTTTGGGTTTGCACCGTGACATGAAGTTCCTTCAGAGCAGCAGGTTGGGGCCATCTTTGGGATGAGACTTCGTCCATGCAGAGGAGGGTGAGAGGCCAACACTTTGCGTTGATGCGTTGCTTGGGTCTTGCTCCTGCCATGGTCAAACATCTCCCAAGGGTTCCCTTGAGCGAGCAGCACTGGTGGGAACACCGGCAGCATTTTATACTGTCCCTTCATATATTTTTTTGGTGGCTTGTGACAGCAGAGGAGCAATCGGTTTAGCAGAGGTCTCCGCATTGGAGAGACCCTGTATTAAGCCTGGAAACTGCTTCCCCCCTCCATCCCCTCCCGCCCCGGGCTGAACTAATTAACTTGTTTTCATTACCATCCCGCCGTCCTTCGTCTGCCTCTGTTTGCTCTCCTAAGCCAGCAGAATATTAACGTTTTTACAAGAAGCCGGTGTTTGGAAATCAGGTTTCTGGTGAAACGGCCCCGGGCACGGGCAAGGGCTGCCTTTTCCCCGGGAGCCCAACCCTCGCCCTCCACGGGGGCATCAACCCCTGGCCCTGCCCTGACCCAGCAGGGCTTTGGAACTCACTCAGCCCCGGTATTTTTAGACCAAAAATGACATTTTTTGGCTCGTCGGCCCTGGCAAGTTTTGCCGTTAAAATAAACTACTTTTACAATAAAAAGAAACATTGAGTGTATTACATCAAGGGCTTAGCTCAAGCCAAGGATTTCAGCTCAGGCTGCAGCGTTGTCCTCACTTCACCTCTCCAGGGCATATGGTGGCTCTTGCCAAGCCGCGGTCCCGCATCCCGGTGGGACGGTTGACTTTACCTGCCGTTTCCCTGCTCGTTTTTAGCTTTTAAATTCAGTTGCCCAGAGGAAAGATCAGGACCTGTCAGAGCAGCGGCCACTTAGGGAGGCTCAGTGCGTTGGTTGAGAGGAAATTAAACCTTCAAGAAGAAGGTTGAAACCCCGGGAAGCTCGTCTGAAACCTCAGCGAGCCCTTCTCACCCAAAGCAGATGATGCAGCGCTTTTTTAGTTTTCCAATCTCTACGTCCCCAGCTTTCCTTCTATTTACTTTGGCATCATTCCTTCTTGCAAACGTGCCAAAGACGCAGGGGATGAACTCGGCTCCCTGGTCATGGCCAGCTTGCTGGCATCTGCTCAGGGTTTCTGATTTCGGTGGACAAGCTCTCGTGCCTGCGGCATCGATCGCCTGCGCTAATATTGCCCAAATGGTTTCAGGAACCGCGGTCGCCTTCACCCCGGTGACGCAAGCGTTAGCAGAAACGCCGGCGCGCTGCCCAACGGCGGGCTCTTTCCCCGTAGGACTGCGTTAAAACCAGATGTCTCACTTGATTTTGGAGCAGAGGTTGTCAACGTTGAGCGTAGAGGTGGGTCATTGGGAGCCAAAGTGTGTAACAGCCCCCCACAGACACCTTGGTCATGGGAGATAATGAAGGTGGTAATGATGGTTTTCATAGAATCACAAAATGGTTTGGGTGGGAAAGGATCTTTAAAGACCATCTAGTCCAACCCCCTGCCCTGGGCAGGGACACCTCCCACCAGCCCAGGTTGCTCCAAGCCCCCTCCAACCTGCCCTTGAACCCCTCCAGGGATGGGGCAGCCACAGCTTCTTGGCGCAACCTGGGCCAGGCTCTCGCCACCCTCACACCAAACAAGTTCTTCCCCACAGATCAGAGCCATCTCCCCTCTTGCAGTGTCCAACCCTTCCCCCTCCTCCTAGGGCTCCCCTCCCTCAGCCAGAGTCCCTCCCCAGCTTTCCTGGAGCCCCCCTTCTTGCGGGACTGGCCGGGGCTCCACGGTCTCCCCGGAGCCTTCTCTTCTCCAGGCTGACCCCCCCAACTCTCTCAGCCCCCCCTCCCAGCAGAGGGGCTCCAGCCCTCCCAGCATCTCCGGGGCCTCCTCTGGCCCCATCCAACAGCTCCATGTCCTTCTGCTGTTGGTGGCCCCAGAGCTGGAGGCAGCACTGGGGGGGGTCTCCCCAGAGCAGAGCAGAGGGGCAGAATCCCCCCCCCGGCCCTGCTGGCCACGCTGCTGGGGATGCAGCCCAGGGGGTGGGGGGCTTGCTGGGCTTTAATACAAACACTGGGGTCTTCAAGCAAGCAGGGAGCAGAGGAGATGCTCAATGGCTGTGTCCATCCCTCTACGCTCTTCTGAGGTCAGGAGGAGCTGGTCTGCAGATGTGGTTTGGGACATTCAGAAGCTGGTGGGTCTTTAATCATCACTGCTCTGAGCATGAGAGGAGCCAGCACTGATGGCTTTTCTGAGCGGTCGCCTCGCCTCAGGCTGGGTAGGGGGTGGGAGATGCTGGACCACCAAAGGCATCCTGATGTGCATTCGCATAGGCTGAATCAAACATGGGGTAACCTGGGCTGTGGGAACTGGGGACATGTCTTCTGGAGTCACAATCCATCAGCTGTTTAATCCTCATTAAAATTCCAGCTTTTAGATAGTAATAGAAGAAATGAATGGATTTAAGTTTAAGAACTTAGTCCTTTTACTCTCTAAACTACTAACTTCTTGCCAGGATCCTGTTACTTTATTTCTTAGGGATTGTATCTTCTCACAATGATAAACAGTTCGAAAAAGTCTAAAATAAATAAAATAATTGGGAAGGTGGCATTATCCAGTGCTGAATTACTGTGGTTACTGGAAGAATCACTGAATGGGATTCAGCAAAGCAAGGGATGCAACACGCATCGCTGGTTTGTTTTCTGGAGAAGCTCTGATTTAACACATTGTATGAGGTTTTGACCCTGTCCCGTAGATGTGTTTAGTCCCATTTATGCTGTCGGAGGGGACCGGTGGAGGTCACAGGTTGGACAGGGTCATGGTCTTTCTCCAAACCCTTTAACAGCCTTCAAGGTGAAGTGTCCAGATTGAAGCCTTAATTGGGCTTATTTGGCTTACACAGTATTTTATTTAGTTAAATATAAAAAATACAATTCATAATTAAGGAGCATTGGCATGTGGGACATCGCAGTGTTACAATCCTCATGACTTCTGGACCTTCTTTGGTTGCTTAGACCTCTCACTTGCCACAGCACGGACCACTTTACCCAACATCTGTTGAAATCACACCCTAAAAATAAGAGTGAAATGCCCGTGTGTTGGAGAGAGCTGGAAACCAGGAGGTGCCCAGTGTTGGGACTGGCCATGGTGGGAAGCTCTCTGCCAGGAGAAGGTTGGGGCTGGGAGGCCCACGCGTGGGAGGCAGCCTCAGCGGGAGGTGGGGAAGGGGTTGGTGGGAGGGTGTCGCATCCCGTTAAGGGATGAGTCAGTTTGCAGCTCTAATTAAAGCCCGGGCCATGTGCTGAGGGGAAAGGAGGTGGTGGGGGAGCAGACACAATGCGAAGGGTGGAGCGTCCTCTGCCAGCCCTGAGTCAGAGGAATTGGGGGGAGATGGCGGAGGAGCTGAAGATGGGCTGAAGGAGAAGGCTTGAGGGAGAAGGAAACAAAACAAAAGCAGTCAAACACATAAACAAAGCATTAAGACAGGCTTTGTTCCGATCCTCGTTAAAATGCTGTGAGGCCAGAAAGCTCAAATCTGTGGGGATACAGGGAAGAGCTCGAGTCTGTGGTGGAAGGATGATGGTGATGGTGGTGAGGGCTTGCTTGGCCGAGTGGTGACCAAAGGACACCAAAAAGAGGTTAACATGGTTGTGTGTTGTCTTCTCTTCGCAAACGAGGTATCAATTCAGTAAGAAAGACTCGCGTTGGGTTAGTTACCTCTTCAGAGGTCACTGGGTCCCTGTTTTCTGGCTCTGCCCTGGAGGAACCGCTCCTCCCACAGCTGCAAAAAAGCTTGTCCTTAACCCTGTCCCTCTTCTGCTTCCAGGTGCAAAGTAGGTCAACCAACATGAGTGGCCTTGGGGACAGCTCAACGGACCCTGCCAACCCCGACTCTCGGAAGAGGAAAGGCTCTCCCTGCGACACGGCCCAGAGGTACGTGCGCCGCTCCCGAGCCGTCCTCCTGCTGCGGCTACTTTGGCATTCCCACCGCGTCGCTCCGTCCCGTCTGCTCGAGCAGATGGAGCCGGGTTTCAGCCGCTCGGAAACGTTCACACTTCCCACCACCACTCCGCTTTGCTTTCAGCCGTGGCTGCGGTGGAAGATGGAGCACGATGGAAAGGCGGCTCCCCATCTGCTCCGCTTGTTGTGAGGTGGCGAATGACGATTAGAGGCTCGTTATCAAAGTTTAATGTATTGATTTCGTAAATTGAGAGCGCTCGGAGCATCAGGGAGGCTTTCTCTGGGTAAATTTGGAGCAGATACTTCTGCGAGGTCTGCAGATCATCCCAAGCCTTCCGCCTCCTTGTGCTGGATTCCCAAGAAATCTGTGGTTTTGTGATATTCCGAAGCTCTGGTGGAGACCCTCTTGCTCCGTGGTGCGATTACAGAGCAAAAAATATTTCTGTCTGAAATATCTTCATTTTTATGTGCCAATGGGGGGCTGCTTCAGAGGTCAGCTCACTGCAGGAAGGCACCTTTTGCTTATGACCGAGCTTTCCCATCCCAGCGGCTTCACCACCCGATTTGGGCTAAGAAGTCCTGGATAGAGGCAGCTGTGATCTCCTTCCAAAGGCTTTTCCATGCTCCCTGAGAATCCTGGGCATCTTTTTCCGTGGCGATACAGTCCCTTAGTAAGGATGAGCCTACGGTGCTGCCGCTCACTCCGTGTCTGTGCTGCCTGGGATGATGTTTTGGTCGTTGTCACAGGATATTGATGCCCTGAGCAAAGCCCAGGTGTATTTTCCATCACCATCAGCTCGTGCGTGATATTCTCGATAATGAATATAAAGGCTGCCGCGTTCGGGTAGAGAGACATTAGGTGGTTGTTTGAGGATTTCTGTTTATTGCAGTTTTTGGTTGCAACATCTCCCTTCTGTAGAGTTCACGCACCTTCTTACAAAGGCTCCGTGGGTCATGGCTTAGCGGTGCTATTAAATTGCAGAAGACATTTTGATAGCACTCACAGCTGTCTTAGTCCTACCAGCTTCTTCTGTAATCATGAAATATTTCCCCTTTCTGGCTGAGTCACTGGAGTCAGAGGTCTGCAGCCCTTGCTGCTGTCTCTAGGCTGCTCTCTCAGAGCTGATCCTCACCCCAGAGGTGAGTGTGGGGTGAAGCTGTTGGTCCTTGACTCCCCATGGTAGAGCCATGGGTAGCAAGGTGGGCTTGGACTCCTCTTCTTGAAGGAACTGGTCCGCAGATGGATGAGCACACACCTGGCTTTGCTTCATCAGGACAAGAGGGAATGGCCTCAGGTTGCACCAGGGGAGGTTTAGGGTTGTCAAGCCTTGGAAGAGGCTGCCCAGGGCAGTGGTGGAGTCCCCATCCCTGGAGGGGTTTCAAAGCCGGGCAGACATGGTGCTGAGGGACAAGGGGTCATGGTGGTTTTTGTCAGTGTTGGGTTGATGGTTGGACTTGATGATCTGAAAGGTCCAACCTAGACAGTCCTATGATTCTATGACTCCTCAGTCTGCCTTTGGAAAGCAGATCTCTTGAGGTTTGTATCCTAACCTCTAAGCACCCCAAGAAAGCCTTCTGCTGCTGACACCAGGGGTCTTCAAAATATATAGGATGAGGAATGAACTGATTGTAGAGAAGCAGAAACTTCTGGATGAAGGATTCTCCTTCCTTGTCCAAGCACAACGAGCTTTTACATCCAGGAAGCACCTACAAGCATTTTTGGAAGGGTTGACTCAAATACTTGCTGTCTGGTTGACCATTCAACCCCCAACACCGGAGCTGGGGCGTGTTACTGAAATCCAGAAGAGAAGTTCTCACTAGTGTTGCGTCTTCCTTCTTTCAGACCATCTCTCGAGTGGCAGCCGCGGTGGGGAGGGACCTCCTCCTCCTCCCTGGGCTGGCCAGAGTCCTCCCTAACGTACTCCCAGAGCAAAGTGAACTTCACAACTCCTTTGTTAAAACCTGGAAGGTTTAACTATTGCTTTTGATGATAGTTGAGAGTCATAAAGAACATCCCACTGCTGTAATATTCTCATGATGCTTTTATGTAAGGAAAATTGGCCAATTCTCCCTCCTACAATCTGAAAGTTGCCACAGCAACAGCGACATTAAGGGTTTTCATGAAATGAGCTCACCCACAACAGAGGGATTTTATTTTTTTTTTTATCCTCTCCCCTCTGCTCTTGCTTTTCGGTTCGCAAGGAGAGCTAGGAATTAATTTGACCTTAACTAAAATACTCGCTGGGCTCCTTCGAGAAGCATTTGCCTGCCCGATGCAGGGGGGCTGCTGTCACCCATACCTCTGCAAAAAGAGTCTGAGGTCCATGGTTGGACCCAGCACTTCTGCAGGAGGTGGACATCCAACCTACCTCTGTGAAGCTGGTGTTGCTGCCTGTGACTCCTTAGCACCCGTTGGAAATAAGGGCTCTTGTGCCCACCTGAACCCATTGCAGAGGAGTTTCCAGGTCACACCACGTGTCTCCCATGGAAGGTCTCGCTCATGGACTTCATGAGACCAGTGGCCCAGGCAGAAACACAACGTGAGTTCTCCACACCCACAGCTGCTCTTGCCTTTATTTTTTTTTCCTTTCTTTTTTGATTCTGCCACTCCTCCAAGTTAAAAGAGGGCGAATCATGCACCCGTTGGAAATAAGGGCTCTTGTGCCCACCTGAACCCATTGCAGAGGAGTTTCCAGGTCACACCACATGTCTCCCATGGAAGGTCTCACTCATGGACTTCATGGGACCTGTGGTACAGGCAGAAACACAATGTGAGTTCTCCACACCCACAGCTGCTCTTGCCTTTATTTTTTTTTTTCCTTTCTTTTTTGATTCTGCCACTCCTCCAAGTTAAAAGAGGTGGAATCATTCCCGCTTCTCCTCTGGGCAGTCACAACATCTGGAGAGACACGGGCCGGAGGAGAACCAAGGTGATGGAATTCCCGCTTCTCCTCTGGGCAGTCACAACACCTGGAGAGACACGGGCAGGAGGAGAACCGAGGTGATGGCGAACCTGGGAGGCAAGGGGAGGTTCATCACAGAGTCTTATCCCTGCAGTCATCAGATATTTTCATGTGAGAGCAAGTTTAAACAGCACAAAAATGCCCAAGAGACACTGCCCACCTGTCAGACCTGGATATTGAGCTAATAAAGTGGAACTGGGCAAAAATAAAGAAACATCTGTGCAGCCAACCCAAGGAGGTCCTTAGAGGGCAGGGCTGGTGGTGTCTCATCCCCTTTTGGACAGATGTGGTTCCCGAAGGGTCTCTGCAGAGTGAGTGATCAAGGTGTTTTCACGCTTCACTTGGTTTGCACTCTCAGCAGATAAAATAATCCAAACCTCTTCTTGAAGCCTTCAGAGCTTGTTCCACCACAATGCAAGGGCATCTGTGACGGGACACAAATCTCCTACTGAGCCAGACTTCTGGATTCAGCTTTCATAGCCCTCCATAAGCAGTGGGGCCTCTTTGAGGCCAGGAACATCTCACCGTGCCCACAGGCATCTCAGCAGCTTCTTGGTGTCCAGTAAATGTTAGGGGTTTTCAGGCAGTACTTCTTGAATTGGGTTCTAGGCATCCTGTGGAGACTGCAACAAAAAATAAGGTGGTTTATTGGAAACCAACCTGCTAAAAGGCATCGCAAGCGGTGTAGGGCCACGTTGGGCAATTTGAGGTGTCCCCATTCCATCCTGTGGTCGCTGTAGAGGGAGGTATTTAGGGAAAGTGGGTCTCTGTGTGTCTCTGCCACATGCCCAGAATTTTGGTGGCTTTGATGCTTGTAGCATCTTTGGGAAAGGAGTATATTACAGTGTCCAGGGTGGCTTCAATAATGGCCACGTTACAGCACACAAGTATTCTCAGTTCCCAGAATTTACAAATACTTGATGGGGAAGCGTTGAGCTTCTGCAGCATCTGGGAGCTAAAAGGAAAGCTGCTTTTGCTGGGACAAAAAGGTTGATCTCATGAATATTTTTCATTTTCCTCATGTCATCGTTGATTCCAGTTTTCACTTTGGTGAACTCCGGTGGATGTTGTTAGCTTTTATGTAGGAATTTGGGATTAAACTTGGCGACAGCCGGAATAGTGGCTGTACAAAAATAAGGGGCTGTATAGAACTATTTTTGATTATTTTTGATATAGCTCGTTTATAACTACTTTTGAGAGGAAGGGAGAGTCCTGAGTGTTAGAGATCTGGTTGTTGTTGGGGTGTCTGGCTAGCCCTGTGCATCTTAATTTTGATTATATGCATAAGTATAGGCAAAGGAGAAATTTGGGTTATAGCACAGCCATCACTCCAGCAAGTATTTGTATTTTTTTTCACTCTTGTCCAGTACCCAGGTGTGACTACACTGAGCAGTGGGAAAAAGCTATTAACCCGACTTTTAATTTCTTCCCCTTTTTTAACAGCAATGAAAAGCGGCGACGGGAGCAGGAGAACAAGTATTTGGAGGAGCTGGCAGAGCTGCTGTCTGCAAACATCGGGGACATCGACACGCTGAGCGTCAAACCTGACAAATGCAAGATCCTAAAAAAGACGGTTGATCAGATCCAGCAGATGAAGAGGTTGGAGCAAGGTAAGGGGGAAGCCTCCTGGTGGGGAAGCCTCGGAGTAAGAGCTTTCTCCTGGTGCCCCTCCAGACACTAAATTGCAGCAGATAATCATGACCGAATTCGTGAAGAGTCGTGACTTAATCATTCCACTGGCAATTTGATGAAGGCATTAATACAAAGGGTGTGCGTTGCCCTCGTTTCTTGGCTCATTTAAGACACCAGCCTTGGTTCTGGTGCAAGGTGGCACTTTACTCCGTGTTTGTGATTCATCCTGAAATGACTCCGTAGATTAAAATAATCAGAAGGGCTCGTTAAGCTTTTGGGATCGGGCTCATTAAGCGCTTATCAGCAATTGTGCTATTAACTGTGTGCAGAAACCCCATTTTATGGCTGGGTGAGGTGAAGGACAGGTATCTTGGCCACACGCTGTGCAGGACCTGGAGAAGAACCATGTACCCTTGTCAGATCTGTTCTCCTGCCAGATCAGAGGGGCATTAATCCACCTCCCGCCCGTGAATATGGCTCTGTAACTGGTGAATAGAGAAGAGACGCTTGAGAAACCATATAAAAGTTAAAATTAACCCAGAGTGTCAACTCATAGACTGAAATGTTGAAGTCCAAAGGGCTGAAGCAATGCACAGGAGAAGGGGCGAGGTGTCCTGAGGAGGGAGTGGGACTCGTTCAGGTCCTTCCAACCCCAGCATCCCTCCTGCAGCTGCTGCAGGTGGGCTCTGGCTTGCTCCACATCATGGAGCTAAGGGCTGCCCATCTCCTGGGCTCAAGTACTTTGTCCTTCGTGCAGACACTTTGTCCTTGGTGCCAAGAGTCTGTCATTGGTGCCCAAGGTGAATCCCACTCAGTGTCAGTGCTGAGAGCGTGTCATCCGTTGAGCGTTGCCTTTGCCAAAGCTCCCACCTTAGGCTGCGAGTGGAATCCTGTTCCCTGGTAAAAGATGTTGACTTTTTCCCAAACCCCAAGGCTGGGACGTGGATCCACATGTACAGACACTCCTTAGAATCCCAGAATGGTTTGGGTGGGAAGGAACCTTCAAAGATCACCTAGTGGCCATGGGCAGGGACATCCAGCGTCACTGGAACAGGTTGCCCAGAGAAGCTGTGGCTGCCCCATCTCTGGAGGGGTTCAAGGCCAGGCTGGATGG